TTATGATATCATTTACGGCAGAAACTATTGGAATGACCATCATAGCCTTCTTAAACTTAACATTTCACATGAAACACCTTGCAGTTTTGCATTTTCTTATAGCGGTACATGCTGCAAAAGATATCATCAGTATTTATTTAGGTTTTGGGTTAGGGAAAACGTTTGATAAATAATCAAAAGTCTCCTACTCTGTTTTTTTACTGCTGATATTTATTTCCTAGGATATTATGCCCGCAGCCGCTTGGTAAGAGGGATATGAACTAGGTGCCCCTCCCCTTGAATACGACACCGCGCAGAATGATCCCGGTGAGGAGGCCCTATTTTGTCCAGAAGGCCCCCTGAAAAATCTTGCTTCCCCCCCACAAACCCCGTGGCTTCGCTCCTGTTGGTAGGTGCGCATATATACTCACCAGTCAGGCGGAATTATATGATAAGCATGAGTATGTATTTTGCTAGTTGACATTCAGCAAAGTCGTTAAAGATCAATCGACGTTCAAAGTGAAGCTGCTGATGATGTTTTCTTCCGAACAAGTCGGACTTCTCAGGCCTAACAAAGTCACTCCAATCTGATTCGATATGCTACAGCGAACGCTTATCACATGACGGTCTGTATGAATCAATCAGTGCCAGTAAATTTTAAAATAAAACGAAGGCTAAAATATCTGTGGTCACTAAATGCCGTTGAATAACGCCACCGCAACCCAGAATCCCACAAGCACAGGCCGCCAGCAGACAGACGGTCTGTTGGCAATGCTCACCTTGGTAGCGCGGCTTGGTGGGCAGTTGTGTTGCCTGGCTCGGTGACTGTGCTGCTTGGTTCGGTGGCTGTGCTGTCTGGCTCGGTCGGTAACTGTGCTGCCTGGCTCAGTCGATGACTGCTGCCTGGCTCGGTGACTGTGCTGTCTGGCTCGGTCGGTGACTGCTGCCTGGCTCGGTGACAGTGCTGCCTGGCTCGGTCGGTGACTGTGCTGCGTGCCGCGGTTCCTTACTGTACTGCGGCGGTGCGGTGGTCGGTGCTCTCTGCGCGGTGGTCCCTATCGAACTACTCAAGACGTACCGTGCACCCCCAGTTAAAAGCAGCCGGTATATCGCAGCGGCGTCTCAAGAGGCCGATAACATCGCGGCGCCACGGGAGCCTCAGCAGGGGGTCTGGCAGGCGGACGGAACTACGCAGCGGTCCACTTGGTCATGATGCTGGCACGGTGAACTTTGCTACCAACGCCTTCGCCGGATTCGCCTCCTCTCGCAGTGTATGCATCTGGTCCGGCCGGCTCCCTTTGAAAATTACTCACCGATGTGATCGTGGAAAAATGTGGAAATAAATGAAATGTAGACGTTCTTTTTCATTTTTATTTCGACAGTTTTCTCATCACTCCTGGTTGGTACGAGGCTGCACCTGGTTGGTATCTGGTTGGTAAACTGATACCTGTTTGGTATCAGGCCCGTTTGAGACCAGGGCTTTTTTAGTTTTTTAAACAAATTTGATCCGAACTGTTTGAATGGATGGATTTCTGTGATCAGTGCTTACGTAAACCAGTGCTTGTTGTGTGAGCCCTGACCCCCACCATCCGATCGCGCAATTCCAGGCAACGACAGAATTTAGTGGCGAAGGCTTAGCGTGCCGCAGTGCTCGGCACGGTCCGGCCTGCCCTCTGACGTCAACTGACCTTTAGCGCGACCGCTGCCAGAAGTTACCTTGCAAACGAGTTTCGCCGCTCACCTCTTGGGACACTTCCTGCCTGGCTCGGTGACTTAACAAACCCCGCGGGCTTTTGGCGGCCACCACAGTGTCCTCCCTGCGGTGGGCCTACGCGTCCGGGCGGGTAAGCGCAGCGCTGCTTGTGACCAATAGAACGCTGGTCGGCACATCATCACCAGCATGACCAAAGCATACCGTGACCAATGACCCATAACGCATCTCAAGTCATTTGAGGCTTGTTGTCAGCAAAGCGCCAATAAACTGCACTGGATGCAGAGCTAAAATGTACTTTAAATGGGCCTCGAGGAAAACATTGTGAAGAACTGCTCGCTGATGCGGCATGGGGTCGATACCAATGTGGCGTTGGCAATAACTGCAAAGCTTCATGCTAAACCAGAAAACAAGATGATTGAAGTTTGAATGGGGTATTGGTAGGACAACGATATTCTTGTTTTTGATTTTAAATCATCTAGCCTGATGACCATTAACCTAAACAATTTTGAAGAGTGTATGATATGTGTTTTTCCGAGTTTGCATGTGCACTGATGTACTCGTATTTACGTTCATCTGTCAAGTCGCTCTCAATCACTCAAGGCCATTGATTCATGCACACTGGTCTCGGGTTCCTCCCGCGTGCTCGGAGGGACTGCGCTCTGGCCGGGATACGCCCGATGGTTAAGAAGCGCGACACATTGGTCTTGGGTGCTTTTACTTTTCTCTGAGGACCCTACACTGTTGACAAGACCCTCTTTGTTGTCTTTGGCGGTATCTTGATCGCTCAGGTGCCGTCCCTCTCGGTCTTCACTTTGTTCATTGTACCGGAAACCATACGCCGTTGACTGGTACCTAACTGTTAAGCGCCTGGGTACACTCTTGATCGTTCCGTGGCCCTCCTCTTTGGTTGTGGGCTCACCCGATGAAGTGAGAAGGACCTTACTCTGTTGGCGAAAGTCCCACATGTGCTTACAACGCAAGGGTGCATCTCCTGCTGGTATGGATGGGCTTGTATGGGCATTTAATTCATGAAAGCAAAGCCGAAAACTCCACGACAATTTTCCTGGGCACCTGAACCTAGGAGTAACAGATGCATATGCTCCGATAAATCTTTATGCGCAGTTGCGGAAGATACTTCTACGCGCCACCGACGTCGTATATGCCATTCCCGTTTATTAAAGAATTCGTGAAGTAACTATGTGCGCCACCATCTTAACGCATCTGGAATGTAAAGATATTTTGTTCTGCTTCATATCAGTCAAAGCAAAACACTGCCTTAGTCCTCATCCAACAGCTGATCACATCGACTTGCTTGCTGGCCGCCAGAAACCGGGTGGCCTTAATTTGCTTTGGAATCAATGTGTCGTGCTTGATTTTGGTAGTGTTCACCAGCCAACGCTGCTCATTTTGTCATATATTCTCCAAAACATTTAGCCTCAAAAGAACAGGTTCCACCATGGACTGGAAAAATGTACCCACTCTATCTATATACACATATACATATACATGTGTATACATACATATACGTACCACGCCCAGTTTTCTAGGCCAGCGCGCAGGGGGTTGATTTCCCGTGTAATGAATGGATATCAATATCTTGTCGGAGGGTCGGATGACCCTGTCTGTCAGAAAACCATGCGAAAGACACTGAATTTTCGCGTGGTGGAGCAGAAAGCTTACGCCTGAATTCTAAAGCCTTCCAGGAAGTTTCTCCTGTAAAGCAACTATTTCATAACCTAACCTACTTTCATCACATGATTATAACCAGACTTATTCATTTTTTGTTTAAGTCTATTGAGTTTCCTTCATAAGACAAATTGTGATGGTACGGGACATGTAATCAAACTATTTTATTCCGTAACTTGGCTGTTTGTCTCAAATTTGTTTATGTGGTCCCTCATGTCTGCTTGAACAAGATGTCGTCCATAGTTGCTGTTGTTTGCTGACTGGCAAATGATTGTACTGTAAATATACACGGTATTTTTAGCTTTAGCACAGGAATTTTCTAAAATGCATAGCAATAACAATATGAGGTACATATTGGTTTCTGGCAAATAGACCATCTCATCTAAAATGTGAATCCAACATCTTAAATTTTATGTCATGAAATATGAACAACCAAGCCATAATAGATGCTTGTGTTGCGGCTGAAATCAAAATCGAAATCACAAGCAGCAAAATTCGCTTCGTGACCATCTTTAAGTAATGTTATGTTTGGAGCAGGAGATTGTTTCGTGGAGCATACTCACCATTGCTCTTGACAGGGGTTAACCATGACATCCAGAATAAGTTGTTCAATGTGATTTGGGTGGTTTTGACTTGGGTGCTATTGACTTGTGTGTATTTGATTTCTGTGTATTGTAATTGTGTGTATTTGAGTTGTTGATTAATTGAACCAAAGCACAAGTTAAACCAGCCAAAAACTGGCTTTGTCATATTCTATCACAGGTGCTGCTGGCAAGACATAGGTAGGGCGAGTTGAGATGATGTTCAGCATATGGGTTGCTCTATGTTAGGCTAAGCTGGTTAAGTACATAACAAGTGGCATTAGGAATTTTGCAAGAGTCAGTGACTCACAAAAGCTGCTGTGATACAAATAGGTTGGACAGCATGAGATAAG